TAGATTTTACGTATTTGAAGGAAAACTAGACGGGTTTTTTTTGGTATGGAAAATGCAAAGTTTGTACTAATGATATATTTTAATGAAATCATCAGCTTTAAAGAAAATCAATAGCCTTCTAAGTGCCAGTTTCTCTTGGATGTTGAAAATGTGTTTGATCAGGTGAAATGAGGCTTCTTATTAGAAATACAAATTTCTTTTGGCTGTTGAACCTCTGACTGCCAAAATCTGTGTTGGCGATTTCAGCAATTGTCAAAGAGCACAAGTTATCCATAGGAACCTGGAAAATTGGAGCAGGAGTAGGAGAGATCCTGAGTGCAGGTTTATAGTTCCTTGAAAGTGAAGTCGCAGATAGACAGTGTAGTGATTGAAACCAGGTTGACCTTGTTGACTATGAACCTTTGGCCCAGGTTGACAATCCCAATCTGGAAGGACCTGGCTGACCGATGTTAACATGGGATTTAGATTCTCCTCCGTTCAGGCGACTGACTGTGAGCTGGCTGGCACAGCCAGTGTACTGTGCACAAGGAAATAAAGGGCGACTTGGTGATGTACAGATATTTCTGTGGTTATGGGAGAAAATAGTATGTGCCTGATGAACATTCGTTCACAACTGTAATCTTGGAGTGGGATAAGCATTTCTCACATCACGCCTTTATTTGGGAAGCTTGACTCATTTGATCCTGCCGTCGAAGACTTGGCCCATTATGTGGAAAGATTGCGATATTTTTTCTGGGCTAATGACATTGGGGCAGTTGAAAAGCAACGAGTAATCCTTCTGACTGCCTGCAGCATTCTCAATTATAAGAGGCTTAACTTTCCCATAGGTACGAGTTGATGGAGTTGGTTAAGGAATATTACGACCCCAAACCTTCTCAAATCCTGAGACGCTATCGGTTTTATTCGCTGTTAGAAAACTGGGGGAATCAATATCGGAATTTTTGACAAGGTTAAGCCGACTGGCAGAGGCATGTGATTTTGGGTTGACCCTGAATGAGCTGCTGAGAGACCGTTTGGTATGTGGGATTAATGATGTAACTATGCAGAAGCGCCTACTAGCTGAAGCCCAACTGGACTTCAAAAGGCACCACAACTGGCTTTGTCATTAAAAAATGCAGCGTGGAGCATGGGAACTATAGGGCGTCCCAATGGAAGTGGACTCCCTCTCCTGCTTGATTGAGCTTGGGGTACACCACTTGAGTGTAGGAAATCACAGAACCTCACACAGGGCATATCCTGAGCAGAGGGACCTTAAGCCCAGCCCACAGCAGAGCCAAGCCTCAGGAAAGTGGCTAAAGCGTTCCTCAGGATCTGGGCCAGCAAGCCATTGTAATTACTGCCGGTAAGTGGATTTGAGACAGTAAAGGAGTCCTACATGGCCTGATTTGAGTAAGAGAACTGGTAGGCCGGTATCCAGGAGAGTGCACACCCTGGAAAGTCCCCCTACATGTGGGTTGGAAAATTTAAATCGATTAGCAACAACCAAATCAGAACCAATTAAAATTAATGTTTGGTTAAATGGCCACCCAGTTCCTGTGGAGGTCGATACCAGCGCAGCTGTATCTGTGGTTGCAGAACATGTCTTTAATAAGATTCACTGGGGACTCCAACTTTTAAGTTTGTGCAAGACCTCAGCCAGACTGAGAACATACACTGGGGAACCGTTGCAGATTAAGGGTGCGACTTCAGTTCTGGTCTCCTATGAGAAGCAGTTGGTGCAGCTCCCACTGATTTTAGTAAAAGGCTCGGGCCCAAGCCTGTTGGAGAATTAGTTGAGAAAGATTCACCTGGATTGGCTCAAAATTTTTTGATTAGAAAATGGCTGCCTCAGTGAAGTCCTAGTGAAATACTGAGGAGTATTTCAGGAAGGCCTTGGGACTATCAGAGGGTCCAAAGCCACTTCACATGTTGACTAGGAAGCAATTCTGAGATTTTGCAAGGCTGGCACCATGCGCCTTGCGGGCAAAAGTAGATGTGGAAATCAGGAGGCAGGAGAGCGAAGGAATCATCAAGCCAGTGCAGTTTGCGGAATGGGCAGCACCAGTCGTAATGATTGTGAAACCTGATAGCTCAGTCTGCCTTTGTGGTGATTTTAAGTAAACAGTAAACTGCTTCTCACAGCTGGATAAATACTCAATCCCTCGCATAGAGGACTTGTACACAAAGTTGGCAGGAGGGTTGACCTGTACACAGCTGGACATGAGCCATGCCTACCTACCTACCTACCATGCCTACCATGACTGGATGAGGAGTCCCAGAAATACGCTACAATTAGTACCCATAAGGGTTTATACCAATATACAAGACCGCCATTTGGGGTATCATCAGCCTGTGCCCTTTTCCAGTGGACCATGGAGAACATTTTACAAGGGCTACCCCAGGTTGCCATTTATCTGGATGACATGCTAATAACAGGGAAGGTCAGTAAAGAGCACTTGGAAAACTTGGACATAGTGCTTTAAACATTTCTCCCAGGTAGGCGTACACCTTACAAAGGAAAAATGTGTGTTCCAGGCACCCAAGTGACCTAATTGGGTTACAGAGTTGCCAAAAGCAGGTTACACCCGTTGGAAGATAAAGTGAGCGCGATCAAAGAAGTCCCGGCTCCCACGTCTGTACCTGAGTTTAGGTCTTTCCTTGCCTAAGTGAATTATTATGGAAAATTCATATGCAATTTGGCCTCCATCTTGGCCCCTATACAACTGCTATTGATAAAGGTCAGCCTTGGAAATGTCACATAGACAAGAAGTAGCCTTCAGGGAAGTGAGAAAATAGCTATCGTCATCTAAAGTGTTGGCCCACTGAGATCTGAAGCGAGAGATGTTGCTGACATGCAATGCCTCAGCGTACGGTATTGGGGTAGTGTTGGGTCACCGGTGGCCCAATGGAGAGAAACACCCTATTGCATATGCTTCCCACACTTTGGCTGATACCAAACCCAATATGCCCAGGTAGAGAAGGAAAGGTTTGGCAGTCATCTTTGGTGTAAGGAGGTTCCACCAGTCCCTTTACGGATGGGAATTTGTCATAGTAACAGATCACAAACCCCTGCTAGGGCTACTGAAGGAAGACAAGGCGGTGCCACCCATAGCTTCCGGTAGAATTCAGTGTAGGGCCCTTATTCTCAGCATGTACAAGTACGAGTCAGGCAGCATCAGAGGAGCAGGAAAGTCAATGTTTCTGGTCAGGATTTGTCCTGATGAAAGGTCCCGATCTGAAATGTCGACTTTCCTGCTCCTTTGATGCTGACCTGCTGTGTACCTCCAGCTCCACACTGTATTGACCCTGACTCCAGCATCTGCAGTTCTTGCTATTTCCGAGTGTACAAGTACAAGTTAGAACAACGTCCAGGAAGCCAAGTGGCTAGTGTGGATGCCTTGAGCTGCCTTCACTGGCAGATACTCCTCTGGTGAAGCATCCCCTGGAAGAGTCCATTCTGGTTTTAAACTTCCTGGACACCCTTCCGGTCACCACTGACAATATCCGACCATGGGCACTAAAAGATCCTGTCCTAGCGAAACTAAAACAGCTGGTGGTAATGGAGAAAACAGAATGGTCATCACAACCTGGATTGAAACCTTTCTGGACCCGGTGAGACCAGATCATGGTTGAGGATGGCATTTTATGGGGAGCAAGAGTGATTGTCCTGAGTAAACGTTGCTGCCAGATACTGGCTGAACTCCACCAGGGTCATCCAGGGGTTTCAAAGATGAAGATGCTATCAAGAAGCTATGTCAGGTGGCCAATGTTGGATGCCAACATCGCTGTGTTAGTGGGGCAGTGCTCAGAGTGCCAACAAGAATAAAAATTGCCACCAGCAGTGCCCCCACATTCGTGAGAATGGCCAGTTACATGTCAACTATGCCAGTCCGTTAATGGGCTGAATGTTCCTGGTCATTGTGAATGCCCATTCAGAGTAATTGGATGTGCATAAAGTTCAATCGGCAAAGTCAGATGACGATTGAGAAGCTGCAAGCATCATTTGTGATACACAGACTCCCGGAAGTATTGGATACAGACAACGGGATGTCATTTAGCAGCAGGGAATTTGAGTTTTTCCTAAAGTCAAATAGCATTTGGCACATAAGGACAGGTTTGGCAGAAAGAGCAGTCTAAAAGTTGAAAGCATGCTTAAAGAAGCAACCTAAAGTGTCACTCAACACTCGGCTGTCCCAGTTCCTGTTCAATTATAGGACCACCCCTCACACAACTACAGAGATAGCTTCAGCGGAGTTGCTGATGGGGAGAAGACTCCACACCAGGTTAAGCCTGGTAGTCCCAGACCTGTGGGAGAGGGTAAAAGGGCAGTAGTTATGCTACTTTCCGCCTCTAACAAGAGAGGCAGTTTAATTCAGGGATAAAGTTTGGTGCTGGAACCATGGGAATGGCCCTGTATGGGTACAAGGCGAAGTTGATGTGAGGTCAGGTCCTGTCACTTACAAAGTTCAGGTAGGTGAGGCGGTCTTAAACAAACGTGTGGATCACCTGAAAGCTGTTACCGTGCAAACAGGGCAGGAGCATAACATACCTAGACCCTCAGAACAGCCAGATGGCCTGTCAGAAATCGTGGGTTCTCTCCCTCCTTCTAGTAATGAGGTAACTTCAGAGTCTGAGGTGGATGCAGCCTCGATTACTGTTGGAAGAAGAGGAGGAAGCTCATCTGAGACACTCTGGATGCAAGTGACAGGCTGCACTGATTCAGGCAAGTGGGGAGTATTCCATCACACTCCTGACTTGTGCCTTGTACAGGTTTTTGGGAGTCAGGAGGTGAATTACTCACTGCAGTATTCCTAGTTGTTGACCTGCTGTTGTAGGTAGTCTGTTTATGTGGTTAGTCTGGTTGAGTTTCTGCTCAGTGATAACCCCCAGGATGTTGATTGTGGGGGATTCAGTGATGTTAACACCTTTGAATGTCAAGGGGCAGTGGTTAGATTGTCTCTTATTGGTGATGATCATAGCCTGGCATTTGTGTGATGTGAATGTCACTTGCCTCTTGTCAGCCCAAGCCTGGATATTGTCCAGATCTTGTTGCATTTGAACATGGACTGCTTCAATATCAGAGGAGTTGTGAATGGTGCTGAACATTGTGCAATCATTGGTGAACATCTCCATTTCTGACCTTATGATGAAGGGAAAGTCATTGATGAAGCAGCTAAAGATAGTTGGGCCTAGGACACTACCCTGAGGAACTCCTGCAGAGATGTCCTGGAGCTGAGATGACTGACCTCCAACAACCACGTCTATCTTACTATGTCTCAGGTATGACTCCAACCGCCAGAGAGTTTGCTCTGTGATACACATTGATTCCAGTTTTGCTAGGGTCCTTGCTGCCACACTCGGTCGAATGCAGCCTTAATTTCAAGGGCCGTCACTCTGACCTCGCATGTGGAATTCAGCTGTTTTGTCCATGTTTGAACCAAAGCTGAAATGAGAACAGGAGCTGAGTGGCCCTGGCGGAACCCAAACTGGGCGTCACTGAGAGGTTATTGCTGAGCAGGTGCTGCTTGATAGCACTGTTGATGACACCTTCCATCACTTTACTGACGATCAAGGGTAGACTGATGGAGCAGTAAATCAATCCCTGCCTTATATTTCATACATTGATTCCACCTGCAATTCCGGCTTATATGTTTTGAAATACAGAATTATTGAGCTGGTGAGACTTGTCTTGCATTTTTGTAAGGTTTTACTGACAACCTAATGGCCCTGCTCATTGTGTAACTCGAAACCTTTTCACTCACTGTTGGTTTCCAGATTTGGATGGATTTAGAACATTTGCAGTGGACCGGTTCAGGAATGCGATGGTGGGGTATAGCTGGGTAGTAGTAAACATTTCGGGAAGCCAACTCCCTGACTGGATGATGGTAAATGAGCAACAATCTGTAATGTACATAATCTTACTCTATACTTTGTTAACTAAATATGCTGTGCTGCTGAGTCCATGCTGCACATTATGTATGTATAAACCTGTCATGACCATGGGTTAAACCCTGAAATACTATGGACATTTTTAACTTGTAATTCTAAAATATATTATTTTTTAAAGGTGGCTGATACAACTGCAGATGTAAATTAAATGACTGGAGAGAGGAAGAGCGAACCATGGAATTCCACCCTTACAGACACAAAGGGAACTTCAAACAACAGCCCTTCAAAGGTTTAAAGAGGTAAGTCAAAACAAACTGGACTGTAATCTCTTGCAACTACAAAGATAATGAGCGGCTAGAATCATAATGCTCAACAGCAAGTGGCCCTGTCAATTATGGTGATGGGAATCCTCATCCGCGGATTCCCCACACTTGTGATTGACAGGGTCCTCAGCCATGTCCAACCCATCTCCCGCACTTCGGCCCTCATATCCCCTCTTCTCTCCCTCAACACTGACAAGGTCCCCCTTGTCTTCACTTACCACCCCACCAGTACCTGCATCATTAGCCACCATTTCTGCCGCCTCCAGTGGGATGCCACCCGGAGACACATTCCCCTCCCTCCCCTTCCACAGGGACTGTTTCCTCCAGGACACACTGGTCCAATGTTTCTCCACTTCCAATATCTCCCCACACTCCCACGACACCTTCCCATTCAATTGCAGAAGGTGCAACACCTGCCCATTTACTTCCTCCCTTCCACCATCCAAGGCCCCAGACACATCTTCCATGAGAAGCAATAATTTACCTGCACTTCAGTCAATCTAGTCTACTGTATTCACTGCTCACAATGTGGTCTCCTCTACATAGCGAGACTAAACGCAACTGGGTGACCACTTCCTGTCCTTAAAAATGACAGTGAATTTCCAATTGCCTGCTACTTAAACACACCACTGTGTTCCCTGGTCAACAATTCTGTCTCATACTTGCTGCAGTCTCCAGTGAATCTCAGTGCAAGCTGGAAGAATGGCACCTCATTTTACATCTGGGGGCCCTGCATCCTTCAGGACTCAATATTGTTCAATAATTTTAGGACTTGAGCACCTTCTTCTATGACCTTACCCCAACACCCATACGCTAGGCCTTGTCACCACATGGGTTGCTACCACAAACAACCCATTATCAGCCACTAATGGTCTCCATTAACAGGCTGAACTTCACTTGCGCCTTTGTCTGCCCAACTGCTTTTCTCTCTCTGGGCTCCACCTATTGTTTACTCCTTCCCCATATCCCAACCCACCTTCAGCATATATACCAACCTTTTATTAGCCACAATCAGTTATGAAGAAGGGTCACTGGACCCAGAGCATTAACTCTGCTTTTTCTCCAAAGATGCTGCCAGACCTACTGAGTTTTTCCAATGATTTCTGTTCCAGTTTCAACTATACTGAAGTTCGACTGAATGTTCTTATATGTGCCAGTCTGGATTTGAGTATTAGGGTTCTGTGAAGGCTACGCTTGAAGAACAATGTGTTTATATTCATGTGTAGTAAATAAAGATACTCTCGCTCTTGAGTTCTAGAAGACAGCTAGCTCGAAGCCAGACTAGAGGAAAACGGGACAATGCACAGACTCTCTCTCGTCCTGAAAATCATTGATGGTCAAAAGGGATCAGAACTATAGAATCTCAACGAATCTCCAAAACTAAGGACTGTGAGGCTGACTTTTCAACCACTAATATCAATGTTACTGCTAATCTCAATTACTACTACCGCAATGTTCAACCATCTAATCCGGTTTTTTTAAATATTTATCTTTATGGACTCCCCTCTTATTTCTAATATGTGTATATGTATTGCATTTCTAGTTCTTCATACATATAGCAATTAATAAATTCACTTTTTTGTAAATTCAAGAAAACCTGATTAAATTAGCTCCTTGTAAAACATAAGTTAATGTGGTTTGGGAGAAAGGCATTCACAAGGGAAAGAATCATTTTATCATAAATTTGTTGCAACTAGTAGAGGAAGTAGCCAAAAGGGGAGCCAGTTCATCTCTCTTCTGCCAGGAGCTTAACAATTCCTGCCTGGTATCATATGAACTGGAGAAACTTGCTCTCTTGTGTATTATCAGAGGAAACCACAAAGGATAATCATATCTGTCATGGGGAAAACCAATGAATAAATCTTATTGCTTGAATTGACACAATTCCTTTGTAAGCCAGCAAGTGCCTATGAATAATGAGATAAAAAGGGGATGAAAATGAGTTGAAACAAATTTAAATATTCCTAAGTACTAATGATTAACTACACTGTTTTGGTTTAGTTTTAAATTGTTAACATTATTAAAGCATTTTATAACCCAACTGTCTTTTAATGTATTGTGTACAAATATGTCAGTTTACGCTATCATTTAAATTTTCAAGCTGATAGGAATTGTGTAAAAGTAGCTTGTTAATTCTCATTTTCCAGTGTTTGGAGTTACCCACCATTTTGTATCAATGTACATGTGGTAAATGTCAATTCGGAATGTATCTGTAAATGTGATTCTTAATTTATTCTCCTTTACAGATCATGGAAATTGATTGAAGACTAGGAAATAAGAGTGGTGATTTTCAACATATCAAATCCTTTAGAATGATGTATAATTTTATTGCACTCAATTATCAAGTTATTACTTCCATTTTCTTTTTGTCAGCATTTGTGTTCATGCTGTTTCAAAGAACAGCCAAATTCTTGTAAAAGAAGCACACTCATATTCTGATGAAGGGTCTAGGCCCGAAACGTCAGCTTTTCTGCTCCTATGATGCTGCTTGGCCTGCTATGTTCATCCAGCTCTGCACCTTGTTGTCTCGGATTCTCCAGCATCTGCAGTTCCTACTATCTCTCTCACATTCATATTCTATTGCAGATATGTCAATAATATCAAGATGAAAGATCTGGCATCATATTAGGAAGTATTCACAGCCAAATGCCAAGGTAGCCAAGGTAGGCCAAATGCTCAATTCTTATGATTATGCTTCACATGAACTTCCTCCCACACTTCTTCATCTAACTCCATTAAGATCTGATTCCATTTCATTTTTTTAAAAAAATGAGGACTTGGGAGAGCTAGCAGCAGCTGTGATAATGTAATTATGCATCTTCCATACCTACAGCAGAGGGTAGGGGATTTCTGGAGGAGTCAACAAAAATAAAAAAAATCTAAATTTGCTCTGAAATTAAACATTAAGTACAACTAGATATCCAAAATCCTGAAGTAAAGTGTTTCTTTCCTGAACTTCAGCATGATTCTGTCAAACCATAGTTTGTGGTTTCATCTGTTATGTATGATGGTATCTTCAACTCAGAGTATAGGTGCTTTGGGAGCTAAGCTCATTTTTAATTAGCAAACTTCAGTTATGCTACCATAATTATATTTTTATTTGTAGTCAACAAATAACAAACAACAATACAGCACGGGAACAGGCCCTTTGAACATCCAAGCCTGCGCCAACAAGTTTTGCCCTTCCACACTAAAATTTGCCTTCGCTTACATGATCTGTATCCCTCTATTCCCTTCCTATTCATGTATTCATCCAGGTGTTTCTTGAATGCTGCAATTGTGTCTGCTTCCACCACCATCTCCAATAGCGTGTTTCAGGCACTCACCACCTGTTGTGTGAAAAATTTGCCTTGTACATCTCTTTTAAACTCCCTCCCCGCCCCCCGCACCTTGAACCGGTGTCCCCTAGTATTTGACCCCTCCACCCCAGGGTAAAGCCTCATACTCTGTCCATGCCATTCACAATCTCTTAAACTTCTATCAGGTTGCCCCTCGACCTTCTGCGTTCCAGTGACAACAAACCCAGTCTTTCCAACTTTTCTTCATAGCTAAAATGCTAACTAAAGTTCTATAAAGTTGCAGCATAACTTGTGTATCCTTATACTTGATGACCCTTTCAATGAAGACAAGCATACCATAGGCCTTTTTTTACTACCTTATCTACCTGCGCTGCCACCTTCAGTGATCTGTGGACCTGCACACCCAGATTCCTCTGCATATCAATACTCCTAAGGGTTATGCCATTCACTGTATAATTTGCACCTGTACTTGACCTTCCATAATGCATCACCTCATATTTGTCCTGATTAAACTCCATCTGCCATTTTTCTGCCCATGCCTCCAACTGGTCTATATCCTGCTGTATTCTCTGACAATCCTCCCCACAATATATATTAAAAGAGGTGATGGGGGAAATAGCAAATGCACTAGTAATTATTTACCAAAATTCACTGCACTCTGGGGTGGTTCCCGCAGATTGGAAAACAGCCAATGTGATGCCACTGTTTAAAAAAGGAAGTAGACAAAAAGCAGGTAACTATAGGCCAGTTAGCTTAACTTCGGTAGTGGGGAAAATGCTTGAATCTATCATTAAGGAAGAAATAGCAAGACATCTGGATATAAATTGTCCCAGTGGGAACACCCAGCATGGGTTCATGAAGGGTAGGTCATGTTTAACTAATTTGGTGGAATTCTTTGAGAACGTTACTTGCATGGTGGACAATGGGGAACCTGTGGATGTGGTGTATTTGGATTTCCAGATGGCATTTGATAAGGTGCCACACCAAAGGCTGCTACATAAGATAAAGTTGCACGGTATTACAGGTAATGTATTGGCATGGATAGAGGATTGGTTGACCAGTAGAAAGCAAAGAGTAGGGGTAAATGGGTATTTTTCTGGTTGGCGGTCAGTGGCTAGTGGTGTGCCTCAGGGATCAGTGTTGGGACCTAAATTGTTTACAATTTACATAGATGATTTGGAGTTGGGGACTAAGTGTGGTGTGTCAAAATTTGCAGATGACACTAAGGTGAGTGGTAGAGCAAAGTGTGCAGAAGACACTGAAAGTCTGCAGAGGGATATAGATACTCTAAGTGAGAGGGCAAAGGTCTGGCAGATGGAGCACAATGTTGATAAGTGTGAGGTCATCCATTTTGGTAGGAATAACAGCAAAATGGACTATGTTTTAAATGGTAAAAAATTGCAGCACGCTGCTGTGCAGAGGGACTTGGGTGTCCTTGTGCATGAATCGCTGAAGGTGGGATTGCAGATGCAGCAGGTAATTAAAAAGGCAAATGGAATTTTGTCTGCCATTGCTCGAGGGATGGAGTTTAAAAACAGGGAGACTGTGCTGCAGCTGTATAGGGTCCTGGTGAGGCCACACCTGGAGTACTGTGTCCAGTTTTGGTCTCCTTACTTGAGAAGAGATATACTGGCACTGGAGAGGGTGCAGAGGAGATTCACTCGGTTGATTCCAGAGTTGACAGGGTTGGATTATGAGGAGAGACTGAGTAGACTGGGATTATACTCATTGGAATTCAGAAGAATGAGGGGAGATCTTATAGAAACGTATAAGATTATGAAGGGAATAGATAAGGTGGAGGCAGGAAGGTTGTTTCCGCTAGCAGGTGAAACTAGGACTAGAGGGCATTGCCTCAAAATAACGGGAAGCAGATGTAAGACTGAGGTCAGGAGGAACTTCTTCACCCAAAGGGTTGTGAATCTGTGGAATTCCCTGCCCAGTGAAGCGGTTGAAGCTACCTCACTGAATGTTTTTAAGGCAAGGCTAGATAAATTTTTGAACAGTAAAGGAATTAAGGGTTATGGTGAGTGGGCGCGTAAGTGGAGCTGAGTCTCAAAAAGATCAGCCATGATCTAATTAAATGGCGGGGCAGCCTTGAGAGGCCAGATGGCCTACTCCTGCTCCTAGTTCTTATGTTCTTATATACAACACTACCAGTTTCTGTATCGTCTTGCAAACTTACAGACAGACCAACTATACTTTCCTCCAAATCATTTATGTAGACCACAAACAGCAGAGGTCCCAGTGCTGGCCCCTGTAGAACACCACTTGTTATAACCGTCCATTTCAAAAAGCATCTATCCACCGCTACCTCTGTCTCCTATGATTAAGCCAGTTCTGTAGCTATCTTGCCAGCTTACCCCTGATACCATGTGACTTCTCCTATTGTACCAGACTGCCATGACGGACCTTGTCAAAGGCTTTACTGTTTTTCCCTCATCAATCATCTTCGTCACCTCCTCAAAAAACTCGATCAAGTTAGTAAGGCATGACCTCACCCGCACAAAACCATCCTGTCTATCACTAATCAGTCCATTTGCTTCTAAATGCGTACAGATCTTGTCCCTGAGAATCTTTTTCAATAATTTCCCTATCAATGACGTGAGGTTCACAGGCTTGTAATTTCCATGATTATCCCTGTTACCCTTCCTAAACAATGGGACAACATTGGCTATTTTCCAGTCCTCTGGGACCTTGCCAGTGACCAAAGATGAGACAAAGGTGTCTGTCAATGCTCCACCAGTTTGTTTTCTTGCTTCCTTCAATATTGTGGGATAGATCCCATTACAACCTGGGAACTTATCCACCTTGATATTTTTTAAAACGCTCAACACCACTTCCATTTTAATAGCAACTTGGCTTAGAAACTCGATACTCCCTTCCCTGAGATCATCCTCCACCAATTCCTTGTCTTTGATGAATCCCAACACAAAGTATTCGTTTAAGACCTACCTGCTCTACACGTAAAGGAGGGAATCTGTCCTTGAGTGCGTCAAACCTTTCAGTGGCTACCCTTTTACTCTTTATATATGTATAAAAAGCCTTGCGATTCTCCTTAATGCTGTTTGCTAATGACTTTTCATGACCCCTTTTAACCCTTTTAATTCCTTGTTTAAATTCTTTCCCACTTTTCTTGCATACTTCAAGGGCTTCATAATTCTCATCCTCTTAGACCTTACGTATGCTTCCCTTTTCTTTTTGACCAAGGTCGTAAACATCCTTGGTCATCCAAAGTTCACATAAGAGAGAGATATTCTGTAGTACCATAAAACATAACCCGCTTCCAGTTCTGACCATATTTTTAAACTGTCTTTGTTGGAAGTTAGGTACCCGAAGAATATACAACCATGGGAAGGATGAATGAGGTACGCAATGGATTGAGAGGAAAAGTAAGAAGAGTAAGAAAAAGCAAAGTGTTAAATGTGTAGGAATTGGAGGGAAATTAACATTACATGATTTACTTTGTTTAGTTATAGACATGCAATAAAAATATATTCGTTGATTAATATATTATTCTGCTTAACTATAGCAAACGCAGATCTTGATACTGGAGCACAATATGACTGTTTAGCATCAATTGGCAAAGACATGCAGCATGTGATTGTGAATAGACTAAAGTTGATGACATATTGTCTTAAACTTAGTATACCGTACCTGTGAGGCTGAGGGTTCTGTTTTGTTTATGTGTAGTTTGTGCATCTAGAATTAAAAATTCAATTAAATTTTAAAAATTCAATTAAAAACTGAATCTACTGTTTAAGAATCTACTGATCACCATGAAATTATTGTCTCGTTCACTAATACCCTTCAAGGAAGGAAATCTGTCATCCTCACCTGGTCTGACCTAAATGTGACTCTGGACCCACAGCAATGTGGTTGCCTCTCAGTTGCCCTCTGAAACGGCCTAGCAAGCCATTCAGTTGTACCAATTGCTACAAAGTCTCAAAGAAATGAAATCAGCCAGATCATCTGGCATTGACCTAGGCACTGGAAAAGACAACGGCAGAAACAGCCCTGCCGACCCTGCAAAGTCCTCCTCACTAACAGCTGGGGGCTAGTGCCAAAATTGGGAGAGCTGTCTCACAGACTAGTTAAGCAACAGCCTAACATAGTCATGTGCACAGAATCACAGACAATGTCCCAGACACCACCATCACCATCCCTGGATACGTCCTGTCCCACTGGCAGGACAGATCCAGCAGAGGTGGCGGCACAGTGGTATCCAGGCGGGAGTGAGTTACTCTGGGAGTCCTCAACATTGACTCCAGACCCCATGAAGTCTCATGGCTTCAGGTTAAACATGGGCAAGGAAACTTGTTGCTGATTACCACGTACCGTCCCCCCTCAGCTGTTGAATCAGTACTCCTCAATGTTGAACAACACTTAGAGGAAGCATTGAGGATGGCAAGGGCATAAAATGTACTCTGGGTGGGGGATTTCAATGTCCACCACTGAGAGTGGCTCGGCAGCAGTACTACTGACCGAGCTGGTCAGGCCTAAAGGACATAGCTGCTAGACTGGGTCTGCTGCAGGTGGTGAGGGAACCAACAGGAGGGAAAAACATACTTGAACTCATCCTTACCAATTTGCCAGCTGCAGTTGCATCTGTCCATGACAGTAGTCGTAAGAGTGACCATCGCACAGTCCTTGTGGAGACGAAGTCCTGCCTTCACATTGAGAATAACTTCCATCGTGTTGTGTGGCACTATCACCATGCTAAATGGGACAGACTTCGCACAGATCTAGCAACTCGACTGGGCCTCCCCATGAGGTGCTGTGGGCCATCAACAGCAGCAGAATTGTACTCCAGCACAATCTGTAACTTCATTGCCTGGCATATCCCCCACTCAACCATTACCACCAAGCCAGGGGATCAACCCTGG